TGTTTAATAAGCAACTAGGGAAACCTGACAAACAGAACATTTTTCCCATTTAATCTAAAAATCTAAAGATTAAATTAAATGCTGGCAATTACTTTTTTCCAGACCTTCCTTCTGTATTTTTCCGTTGCAGTGCTGAAACATGACGAAGTGACTTGTCTTGTGAACGTTCCTCTCCATAAGCATCCACAGCAGTACTGTGCAAAGGGTGATCTAAAAAGAACAGAAAATAAGCTGTATGAAAATTGTTCCCATCTGTTCAGGCAAAGAGCGTGGACATGCTAGCAGTGCCTGCCATTAAACCTTTAGTTAGAGCATTTGTGGTTTGCTCACTAATACAAAGAAAGTCTTGTTAAAAGTATTATTTGAGGATTAGGAAAAATATATATGTAGTGAAAAGCTTCATAGTTTCTATGCTCATCCACCTGCTATTTCTTTATAAACCAAAACCAAAGGTGCAGGAAAGCTCAGCATGTACATATGGCATATAGCAAGCAAAACATTTTGTACAGTTTATGTAAAGTCTCTCTCTGCTATAGCATACATCAATCTTCTATACATTTAACAACTACTTTCTAAATTTTATCTTTTTTTTTTTTTTTAATACGGATTTTTAGCTGCTTTATTGGATGCTATAAGGCAGTTACAACTACTACAGAATGTTTGTAAATGTAGAATTCTTTCAGGTAGCTACCAAACCAAATAGAACTCTGAGAACTTTACAGCTTTAGTATGCCTTCCATAGTATAGATTTCTTTTTTCAAGCACACTCCCAGAAAAATTTAGTGTTAGCTTACATTAGTGTTAGTGGGCATCCTTTTTACAGTTTTAATAGATACCACAGAACTGAGGAAAAGAGGAGCTTTTAATTTTCCAGCCTTTCCCGTATGACAACCCTTTTGCTATATTGTTCTTTATAGCTCATTTTCAATGCTTTTTCTAGTAGTTACATATATATTTCCATAATTTTCTTAGATTAGTAACTATTATAGGTGAGAAACAGCCCTTAGCATTTTCTCTACAACTTCTAATTACACAGTTTTTCAAATATTTTTCTTACTAGCATTGACATATAAGAGCTACATATATTTAATAATAGAGGACTTCACACAGGGGCACCTATTCAGTCTAAATTGATTCTCTTCCAGTATACTGAGAGACCTCATTACACAAGTCCCAGACGGAGCATGAAAGTGGCTTTAATGCCTCACCAAAAATAGTATGTTTTTGTGATGTTACTTTTTTAAAGTAACATCTGAAAGTGGCAGAACAACATCCCTGTGAATGTCTAAGTTTGCTGCCATGAATACTCTTACAATAGCAAAAATTTCACTTCATAATTTGTGACTTAATGGAGAATAACTTATGATATTGAACTTTCATTTTAAAATGTAAATTCTTACACAACTGCAACGTTATATTGTGTGAAATTCTACCATTCAGACTATAAAAGTTGAATACCCAGTATTTTTCCATTAACTTCTGCTTGCACATATTACAACATTATTCTTGTTACTTCCTAAATGACAGAAAATAACACCGCTCTCAAAAAAACCTGTCTCTCCTGCTCCTAACTTTCTCTGGCAAAGAAACAATACCTTTTCCTAGGTAAGCATTGGACTATTTTGCCCATATGGTTTGTTCATGAAAATCACACATTAAATGACATTCCAGTTAATACTAACCAAATGAATCGTCAAGCTCCTCAAGCTGACTTGCTTCCGCTACCTTCAATATCCTTGAGACATCCGGTTCCTCAAGTGGAAGTAATTTGCAATGAGAACGGGACTTGGCTGTGTGTTCCTGGATGGGTATGAAATTAATAGCTAGTTCATCCAGCTCTTTGAGTGTAAAACAGATGAAATATGGCAATGACTTTCAAGAACGTTTGACTAGAAATACATTTAACCAGGATCATATTGACTACTGAGCTACGATACAAAGTATTTGAAGCATGTGTTTTTTCTTTATGCTATGGGTATTTTCCCCTAAGAGAAGCGATAGCATAAACCTGATACATTCTGCTATTTGATACTGTACTGTAGTGTGAGCTTTGTCTTATTTCATAAAGTTAAGTGTATAAGCTTAGACATCTTATAACAGTCTAATATCTGGTTTCTACGATCTGTGGCCTTTTTGTTTTCAGGCATTAAAATATTTCTTCTTTCATCTCTATATTACACAAATTCCCATCCTTGTCCAATGTAATTATTTTCATTTTAAAAAACTGAAAAGCTGTAGTGTAACTCCTTATAAAAAGAGGAATTTATAAATCAAATATTACACAAACACTTCAGTAAAGCAGAAGGGTAGAGGAGAATGGCACTAGTTTGTGAAATATCTGTAAACATGTCATTCACACGATAAGTGTGGGAGTGAATTTGCTCACTAATTTGTGTGTGTGCATGGAGAGGGAATTATAAGGAGAAGACACCGACTTCCTGAACTTTTAATTTTAGCAGCACTTAGCAGTGCCTCAAGTTTTGTTATGGTACAAAATATAGACACATCAACTATTTCCCCTTCAAGCTATTCTCTTTAATTTTACAAAACTATTTTCAAACTTTTGCCTGTTTGAAAGTCAATAGCCCATCTTGCCTGATGATGTACTTACTCATTGTCCTGGTTTCAGCTGGGATAGTTAATTGTCTTCCTAGTAGCTGGTATAGTGCTATGTTTTTGAGTTAGGTGTGAGAAAAATGTTGATAACACACTGATGTTTTCAGTTGTTGCTCAGTAGTGTTTAGACTATAGTCAAGGATTTTTCAGCTTCTCATGCCCAGCCAGCAAGAAGGCTGGAGGGGCACAAGAATTTGGGAGGGGACACAGCCAGGGCAGCTGACCCAAAATGGCCAACAGTGCATTCCATACCATGGGACGTCCCATCTAGTTTAGGAACTGGGGAGTGGGGGCGGGGAATCGCCGCTCGGGGACTGGCTGGGCATCGGTCGGCGGGTGGTGAGCAATTGCACTGTGCATCACTTGTACATTCCAATCCTTTTATTAGTACTGTTGTCATTTTATTAGTGTTATCATTATTAGTTTCTTCTTTTCTGTTCTATTAAACCGTTCTTATCTCAACCCACGAGTTCTGTTTCTTTTCCCGATTTTCTCCCCCATCCCACTGGGTGGGGGGGAAGTGAGTGAGCGGCTGTGTGGTGCTTAGTTGCTGGCTGGGGTTAAACCACGACACTCGTAAAAGAAAGAAAGAAAAAAAGGAGGAAAAAAAAAAAAGAAAAACTTGCACGCCCCAAACCTGCACCAGCAGGGACTGCCCAGCCCCGTTCCCCGAAAACCCCCCCCCCCCCCGTTAACACCTGCGCATCCACCTCCAGAGCCAAAACCACAAAAGCACAGTCAAGCAACAAAACGTTGTAATGCTGTAACTCACCTTTAATTTATTTCCGGAACGGTTTCTCTTCATTTTCTTCTTTGAGGACATTCCACCGTTCAGTACGTGCTGCCAAATACACAGCTGAGGATTAAGCTACCGACGAACCGTCCCCGACGCACATCCACTCTCTCTGCGTCAACACCCGGGAGAGAGCAGGAAATCTTCGTTAGTTCAGTGCGCGACGCGTTAACTCACGGCAGAAGCAGTAACGCCCGCTGCATGACACCAGCCCGACGCCTGGCGCCGTTTCTCCCCTGCAGGAGGCCCCAGGAGCCCAAGGGCGGCCCGGCCCGGCCCGGCCCGGCCCGCCGCCTCCGGGAGGAGAGAAGGCGGCCGGCGG